GTGCGCAGAAGAGGCAACTGATAGATGTTTGTTTCGCATTAATGTTTTTCCCTCTTTCTTTCCCTCCCTTCCCCTCTATCTAAAAAAATATATAAAACAAAAAATTTAAAAAACTCAAATTCAACAGCATAAGAAAAGGATTGTACATCATAACCAGCTGGGATTTAATCCAGGAATATAAGGATGTTTCAAAAAAATCTATGTAATTAATATCCCATATTAATAGGTGGAAAAGAGAAATTATGACTAGCTCAACTGATGTAAAAAAAATTTAACAAAATCCAAAGCCCTGGTTGGGTAGCTCAGTTGGTTAGAGTGTCATCCCACTATGCTAAGGTTGTGGGTTTGATCCCCAGTCAGGGCACATACAAAAATCAACCAATGAAGACATAAGTAAGTGGAACAACAAATCAATGTTTCTTTCTCCCTTCTTCTTTCTCTAAAAGAAATCAATTAATTAAAAAAGTAAAATTAAAAAATCCAACACCTTTTCATGATGAAAATAATAAATTAAGAATGGAAAAAGCCCTGGCTGGTGTAGCTCAGTGGACTGAGCGCGGATCGCACTCGAGCCTGTGAAGCAAAGGATCGCAGTCCGACTCCCAGTCAGGGCACATGCCTGGGTTGCAGGCCAGTTCCCATCAAGGGACACATGAGAGGCAACCACACATTGATGTTTCTCTCCCACTCTTTCTCTATCCTTCCCCTCTCTCTAAAAATAAATAAATATTTTTTAAAAATTTAAGAATGGAAAAGAACTGCCTCAACATGATTAAGGCTGTACAGGAAAAACCCACAACTAACGTCATACCCAGTGGTGAAAAACTGAAAGCTTCCTCCCTGGACCATGAACAAATAAGATGCCCCTTTGCTGCTTCTGTTCAAAATAGTACTGGGCATTCTGAGCAATTAGGCAAATTATTTCTGTTCTCAGACATGACCTTATATGTACAAAACCCTAAAGTTTCCACCAAAAATTTATTAGAACTGAAAAATGAATTTAGCTCTGACTGGTGTGGCTCAGTTTGTTGAACATGATCCTGCAAAGCAGGTCAGCAGTTTGATTCCAGGTCAGAGCACACGCCGGGGTTGCAGGTTCAGTCCCCTGTTCGGGTGTGTATGAGAGGCAGCCAATTGACGTTTCTCTTTCACATTGATGTTTCTCTCCCTCTCCTTCTCCCTCCCTTCCATCTCTCTAAAAATAAAATAAAATCTTAAAACAATTTTATATACAGTGGAATCAAAAAGAATAAAATTTATAGAAATAAACTGACCAAGGAGGTGAAAGACACATGAAAAACTACAAAATACTTGTGAGAATGGCCATCATAAACAAATCAACAAACAAGTGTTGGAGAGGATGCAGAGAAAAAGGAACCCTAGTGCACCGTTGGTGGGAATGCAGACTGGTGTAGCCACTGTGGAAAACAGTATGGAATTTCCCCAAAAAGTAAAAATGAAACTGCCTTTTGACCTGGCAATTCCACTGCTGAGATTGTATCCTAAGAACCCTGAAACACCAATCCAAAAGAAACTATGCACCCCAATGTTCATAGCAGCACAATTTACAATAGCCAAGTGCTGGGAGCAACCCAGGTGCCCATCAGTAAATGAATGAATCCAAAAACTATGGTACACCCGCCCCCCCCACCTGTTGTAGCTCAGTGGATTGAGCACAGGTCTGCAAACCAAAAGATCGCGGTTGTATTCCCAGTCAGGGCACATGCCTGGGTTGCAGGCCAGTTCCCAGCAGGGGATGCACAAGAAGCAACCATACATTGATATTTCTCTCCTTCTCTGCTCCCTTCCCTTCTAGAGATAAATAAATTAAAAATTTTAAAAAGAAAAAGAAAAAAAAACTATGGTACATTTATACAATGGAATACTACGCAGCAGAGAGAAAGAAGGAGCTCCTACCCCTTGCAACAGCATGAATGGACCTGGAGAGAATTATGCTAAGTGAAATAAGCCAGGTGGTGAGGGACAGATACCATATGATCTCACTTTTAACTGGAGCTTAATCAGTAAAAGAAAAGAGCAAGCAAAATATGGCCAGAGACATTGAAATTAAGAACAATATGGCAGTAACCAGAGGGGAGGTGGGAGGGAATAATGGGGGAAGGGGGAAGGGGGAAAAGGCTCTTAGGAACAACTATAAAGGCCACATGGACAAAACCAAGGAAGGGTAGAAGCAAGGGAGGGAGGAGGGTTTGGCTGGGGTCGGAGGGGGCGGGCAGTGGTGGGGAATAAATGCCGACAACTGTAATTGAACAACAATAAAATAATTTTTAAAAAGACTACAAAACACTACTGAAAGAAATTAAAGAATGAATGAAAATAAATGAAAAGGCATTCATATTGTTGGATTAGAAGATTCAGTATCATTAATATAACAATATTATCCAAAGTGACCTATAGATTGAATGCAATTCCTATCAAAATCACAATAGCACATTTTTGCAAAACTAAAGTGAAGCAGCTGGCTTTGCTGACCTCTAGAAATGCCTTCCAACCCTGTCCGACACATCACAGCAGTCAAAGCCATGGACTCTGCTCTTGGCCTCCTTGGGCTGGATGGCTGCTTACTACCCATGAAATGCAACAAATTAGTTTTCTATAAAATGGGAATGATATTTTCTTCACACACAAAAAGAATTAACTGGGCAATTACATGTAAAGAGCCTGATACTCAGTGAATGTTAGCTATATTTATTAACATTTCTATGGTACCTTCTTGAACTAGAATCAGTTCATGTCATAAAATACAAGTGAAGCCCTGGCAGGTGTAGCTCAGTGGACTGAGCATGGGCCTGCGAACCAGACAATTGTGGTTCGATTTCCAGTCAGGGCACATGCCTGGGTTGCAGACCAGTTCCCTGCAGACCAATTCCCAGCAGGGGATGCATGAAAGGCAACCATACATTGATGTTTCTCTCCCTCTCTGCTTCCCTTCCCCTCTAAAGATAAATTCTGCACGGACATCAAGATTAGCACTGAAGAAAAAAAACCATTGGGTATAGCAGTTAGGTTTTGGTGACCTTCAAGAGCAGTTCTGAACGCAGGTTGGAAGCCAGATTGCATTTGTTTGAAGCACTGCGAAGGCTAGAACATGGAAGTGGTAAGTGTGGGATACTCTTGAGAAGAATAGCAGTGAGGAGGTGGAGCGTGACCGAAAGAGAAGAATGGTCAATAAGGGAGGCCAAATAGTAGAGTTGGTCCACGTGTTCACAAACCCCACCCACTCTACAGAGCTGGCTCTGCTGCCAGGTGCTGCCAGGCTGCCACAGACCTGCAGATGTTCGGGGTAACCTCCTCATAACCACTGGGTCTCTGCTCCTGGATCGTGTCTCCCAAGACTGGCTGGAGTCTGCTCTGAGGGTGCCTGTTCCTAAGAAACAACTGGGAAGGCAGAAATCTTAAACCCGAATTGATTCTCTGACATACTGCCCGTTCTTCCAACAAACAGAATGAAAAGGACCGCCAATCACAGGCAGGGCAACAGAAGAACAAACGGAAACATTTCTGATATGTCACCTGGGGTTATAAATGGATATAAAAATCTGGTGCCCCACCAAGGTGGCTCTCGGGGTGTAGGCTGCACTTCTCAACACTGCTGTGTCGAAATTCCTTTAAAACAATCACCAGGTCATTAGGTCACATTCTTAAGCACAAGTCTCCCAACTTTAATGAAGAATTTGTTTTAAAAGAAACAATAATTTGCCCTGGCTGGTGTAGCTCAGCAGATTGAGTGTGGGCCTGTGAACCAAAGGATCCTGGTTCGATTCCCAGTCAGGGCACATGCCTGGGTTGCAGGCCAGTTCCCAGCAGGGGACGCAGGAGAGGCAACCACACATTGATGTTTCTCTCCCTAACCCTTCCTCTCTAAAGATAAATAAATAAAAATTTTTAAAGATATTAAAAAAAGAAACATTAATTCACTTGACCTGTGTCGAGTAGAATATTCCCAAATATATGGCAGTGTATTAAGCACTACAAGAAGGAATAAGACGTTAAAAAATTTCATTAGTCATTGCCTCCAGGATCTTGCAGTTTAGCACTTATTTGGGGAAAAAAAAGTTATTCTGTTTTCATTTGCAAAAAGTAGGCTATTTACTTTTTTATTTTTAGATTTTATCTGTTTATTTTTAGAGAGAGAAGAAGGGAGGAAGAGAGGAAGAAAAACATTGATGTGTGAGAGAACCATCTATCAGGGGCCCCTCACCCTCCCCCAGGTGGGACCTGGCCTGAAGCTAGTCATGTGCCCTGACGGGGAATTGAACTGACGACCTTTTTGTCTCAGGCCAGCACTCAGTCGCCTGAGCCACACCAGCCAGGGCTATTTTTATTTTATATCTTTTGGAATTTGTTTAATTTTTTTTACTATATACTACTTTTACAATTTAAATGTATGTACGAAGATACGTAGTCATACGAAAAATTCTCACGGTGTATGACTAAATGTAAAAACCAAGAAATCCAATCCCATTTCAGTATTATTGCACTGTTAAAAATACAATTCTACTTAGAAGGAAAGATCCAAAGGCTCTGGCTGAGTCGCTCAGGTGGTTGGCAGTGTTGCCCAGATGCACCAAGGTTGCAGGTTGGATCCCAGGTCAGGGCACATAGAAGAACCAACCAATGATGCATAAACAGGCGGAACAACAAATCCACGTTTTCTCTCTCTCCCTTCTCTCTCTAAAAAATCAATTGGAAAAGTCAGAAAAACACATTAAAAGGTTAAATAGCCCTGGCCAGGGCGGGTTCCGTTCCTTGAAGTGCCCTCCCACACATGGAAAGGATGCCAAGCCGATTCTTGGTCGGGGCAGGAACCACCGGGCGGCAGGTCCCGCCCCTCCCCACCTGCTCCAGCCCCACCCCCTATCATGGCTGGAAAGGGAGGCGACCAATGTTTCTCTCTCTCTCTCCTTCCCTCCCATTCTCTCTCTCTAAAAAAATTTTTAAAACATATCCTCTGGTGAGGATTTTAAAAAGAAATGATTTTTCCCAATGATGTAATTTTCATCTTACTCTGTTTTCAGCCACAGTTGCCTCCTGTTAGTAAGCTCATTCAGAAGGGTGATGAAAACTCTTACTGAGAAAAAAAAAAAAAAAGAAGTTAAACAGGGGAAGGGAAGAGAGAGGAGAAATATCAATACTCCCCTCAAAAAAAAAAGGTTTTTAAAAAATGTAAATAAATTTAGTTTAGGGGTTATAGGTGCTTTATTTTCAGATTTGTGTATGTGTTCATAAGTATCTTTAATTTTTAAAATTGATTTGAGACAGAGAGAGAGAGACATCGATTTGTTGTTCCACTTACTTATGCATTCATTGCTTGGTTCTAGTACGTGCCTTGACAGGGGATGGAACGTGCAACCTTGGGTTGTAGTGGAACGACTCTCTAAGCAACTGAGATATCCTGCCGGGGCCATAAACATCTTTGATTACATATTACTTTTGGAGGATAAAAAGGTGAACTAAAAGAAATAAAAATAACTTCTGATACAATACTGTTCTTCAGATTGCTTTTTCCACTTAATATATCATGAACCTCTTTCCAATACAGTAGTCCCTATAAAGCTACTTTAGTCTTTTTCATAAGTATGCTATTGTCTTGCACAGATTTTATGTTATTTAATGAATCCTCTATTGACAAATATTTCAGATCTTCAAGATGGTTTGCCATTATAACTAATACCACTAGAATCCCCTTTACACATATACAAGGGCATTTCCAGGTGAGAAATTATTAAGTCAAAGAGTATGCACATGTTTTTGTCACAGTTTATATTGAATTGTAACACACAGATGAGCACACAAATCATAAACGCACAGACGAGCTTCTCACAGAATGACGGTAACTCATGTTGACTGCATCGCCTTCCAGACACAGAAAACCAGTCAAGCCCCAGGAGCCTCCTGTGCGTGCAGCTTTTTATGATCACTGTGAAATTTCCTTTTAAAAATATTAAACCAATTAATGTGAGTACTCAAATAGTATTTGAGACTACCAGGTTCCCATACCCTCTCCAACACAGAAGATTATCATATTCTTAATTTTTGACAGTTGGATGGGTGAGAGTCATGTATCATTAACTTGCATTTTTTTGGTCCTTCATGAGTTTGAGGATTTTATCATACATGTTTTTCTCCAACTTATCTATTACTATCCTTGTTCATTTTTCTACTGAATATTTTTCTTATTTGTAGGAATTCTTTACATTGTATGAATGTTACCCCTTTGGCTGTTATATATGATTCAAATATTTTCTTCTCCTTTGTCATTTGTCTTTTAACTTTATGCTGCCTTTTAAATTAAAGAAGTTTCAAATATGTTATAGTTAGATATTTCAATTCTTTCCTTTGGGCCTCTCGACTTTGTGTCATCATTTAAAAATCTTCCAGAAATTTACCCTGGCTGGTGTGGCTCAGTGGATTGAGTGCCAGCCCATGAACTAAAAGGTTGCTGGTTTGATTCCCAGTCAGGGCACAGACCTGGGTTGTGGCCAGGTCTCCAGTGGGGGACACGTGAGAGGCAAGCACACACTGATGTTTCTCTCCCTCTCCTTCTTCCTCCCTTCCCCTCTCTCTAAAAATAAATAAAATTAAATTAAAAACCTTCTAGACATTCAACAGTACAAAAATATCCTTCTATATTTTCTCTTCTTGTTCTGTTATAGTTTTGCTTTGAACATTTAGATATTTTTCCCAAAGTATTTATTTTTATTTTATTTTATTTATTTATTTTTAGAGAGAGGGGAAGGGAAGGAGAAAGAGTGGGAGAGAAACATCAATGTGTAGTTGCCTCTCATGTGTCCCCCACTGGGAACTGGCCCCTGCTGGGAACTGGCCTGCCACCCAGGCATGTGCTCTGACTAGGAATCGAACCGGTGACCCTTCGCTTCACAGGCCCGTACTCAATCCACTGAGCTACACCAGCCAGGGCAAAATATTTATTTATTTTTAGAGAGAGAGGAAGGGAGGGAAGAAGAGAAGGAGAGAAACACTGATGTGCAAGAGCTACATCAATCAGTTGCATCTTGCACGCCTCTAACTAGGGACCTGGCCCACACCCCAGGCATATGCCCTGACCAGGAATCGAACCAGCAACCTTTCAGTTCACAGGCTGGCACTCTATCTACTGAGCCACACCAGCCAGAAACGAACATTCAGATCTTTAATATATTTGAAATTGTGTATTAGGTAGAAATCTTTTAAAAAAGATTTTATTAATATAGTCTTAGAGAGAGGGAAAGACAGGGAGAAAGGGAGGGAGAGAAACATCAATGTGTGGGAGAAACACTGATCAGCTGCCTCTTGACACACCCGACTGGGACGGGGTCACAACTCAGGCACGTGCCCTGACTGGGAACCTGACCGGGGACCCTTCACTTTGCAGGATGGTGCCCAACCTACCGAGGCACCCTGGTCAGGGTAGAAATCTTTTCTTCTTTTTTTAAAAAGAAAAATCAATATGAGAGATTTAAAAAGAGAACAAAGGAAAAACATTTTAAAAAGTCGATGGACTTTAATGCCATTAAAAATAAATCCATTATTTCTCAATTGATTTGAAATGCCATCATCTTTACTAAGTCCCAAATTTTCTTAGGTCTGACTCTAGAATTTACTTATTTCCACCGACCTGTTTGTATATTCTTATTTCAATATATTATTTATTACAATAGCTTTATGGAACATCTTCATATGTGGTGGAATGCTTTTTTCTTCAAAATTTCACTCATCCTGTGCTAGTATACTTTCAGATGAACTAGAGCATTAACTTGAAGTTTCTGCAGAACCCATTTGGGTTTTAATAGGGGTTGCCCAGATTTTACAGATTAGGGGAGAATTGAAAAGCTTTGGCTCCAGATGAGTTTTCCCACTCAAATACATTTCTGCCATTTTCTTCAAGCTTATTTTGTATAATCTTCATTATATTTGTATAGTTAGATGTATGGAAGTCTTACATATTTCTAGTTCATTTTGTTTACAAGCATTTAGGAGACTATTGATACTATGAACAGACTCTCCCCTTGCTTTTAATTTGGGACCGTTACTGCTGAGATGCAGGGTGGGGCACAAATAGCCCCTTTTTATTATAAAATCTTTTATTATAAAATCATAAGCAAGTAATTCTATAACATAACGTTACCACACACGAGCACACCGTGTGACATTGTAGGTGAAATGTTCAAATTAAAACAAGTTATCACACCCACATTGTTACCCCGCCAACCACACTCACGCGGGCGTTTCTTCTGCCGGACCCTGTATATGAGAATTAATGATTTTTGAACAGTTATGCATCCAACAGCCTTACTGAACTTACTTATTTATGTCATCACCCAAGGATATGTCTATTGATTTTTTAATCTATATTTGTGTTTTAATTTTTTAAAGAGAGAGAGGGAGGGAGGGAGAAAGAAGGAGAGAAGCATTTATGTGAGACAAAAACATTAACTCTCTCCTCCTATCACCCTGTACAGGCATCGAACCCACAGCCTTTCGGTGCACGGGACAAGGTCCCAACCAATGGAGCCGCCCAGCCAGGGCCCTGACAGTTTTTTTTAATTTAAGTTAAAGAGATCCTTCTATTTCTAATTGGGTAAGAACGTTTATTAAAAGTGAATGCTGACTTCGCCCTGGCTGGTGTGGCTCAGTGGATTGAGTGCCAGCCTGCGAACCAAAGGATTGTGAGTTTAATTCCCAGTCAGGGCACATGCCTGGGCTGTGGACTCGGTCTCTGGTTGGGGGTGTGCAAGAGGCAACTATGTTTCTCTCCCTCTCTTTCTCTCTGTCTTCCCCGCTCTCTAGAAATGAATAAATGAAAAATTTTTTTAAAAAGTGAATGTTGAGCCCTGGCTGGTGTAGCTCAGTGGATTGAACACAGGCCTGTGAAGCAAAGGGTCACTGGTTCGATTCCCAGTCAGGGCACATGCCTGGGTTGCAGGCCAGTTCCCAGTGGGGGACACATGAGGCAACCACACACTGATATTTCTCTCCCTCTCTCCTTCCCTTCCCCTCTCTCTGAAATAAATAAATAAATAAATAAATAAATAAATAAATAAAACATTTAAAAAAAAGTGAATGTTGCCTTTTACTGGATGCTGTTTCAGGCTCTATTTTTATGAACTATGGTTTCTTCTTTAATGAGTAAGTATAGCTAATTATAATAATAAATTTTCCAACATTGAATCCTATTTGCAGTGCTGGCATAACTTCTTCTTAGTTATATATACCTACATATCTACATATACACATACATATGACAGGCAGCCAGTGACTGGCTCACCTGGGGACACGTGGGAGTTCTCTGGAAGGTTCTGCAGGGCTTCCCTCCTTGGGAGGCTACAGCCAAGCAGGTTCAGCTCATCAACTTACCGTCTTGTCCCTTTGACCCTCAAGAAAACACCTGCATTCTTATGCCAAAAGATGGGAGTACAGAAGGCTCCCCTGGGACCCCCCGGCCCCCCTCCTCCACCCTCCTGTCAGGCGGCCAGCAGTGCCGGGCCCGGGAGCAATCCACCGCACCTGCACCCTCTACTTCTGTGGCTGATTTCGGATTAAGAGTCTGTTCTCCAAGTCATTCATAAAACCCAACACTTTCATACCTCTCAAGATTCCATGACATAGGAATAGTATTATAAAAAAGTGACTTGAAGACAAAAGTACGTTAGAAAGAAATTAGGTCTATTCAATAGCCAAGCGATGGAAGCAACCCTACTGCCCATCAACAGATGAGTGGATAAAAATGCTGTGGTATATTTATGCAATGGAATATTACTTGGCCATAAAAACTAATGAAATCTTACCATTTGCAACAGTCTGGATGGACCTAGAGGGTATTATGCTAAGTGAAATGAGACAGTCAAAGAAAGACAAATACCATATGATTTCACTCATATGTGGAAGCTAAAGAATATGAATGATAAAACGAAACAGAAACAGGCTCACAGCCCTGGCCAAGTGGCTCAGTCGTTAGGAGCACCGTCCTGTACATCAAAAGGTCGTGGGTTCAACCTCCAGTGAGGGCACGTGCCCAGGTTGCAGGTTCAATCCCGGACCAGGACGAGTATGGGAGGCAAGTAATCATGTTTCTCTC